GCCTGCCGCTTCGTCATGCCGTTGAAGCGGTGGTGAGGGTGCACCACCTGGAACAAGATGACAGAGATGACACATCATCTTACATCAGTCAGAGCAAAAATGTGTCAATGAGCTGCTGAACTGTCTTTTTCTAGCACTGTTGCATGCCACAGTGTCATTAAGACCCCCAAGGCCCCGGGTTTGTTCCAAATCATGTGGGCCATAACTGGAATAACCATAGATTTGTCTGGAATTTGCACCAATGAAAATCAACTAAAATAGCCCTGATCTAGTTTTAAAACCTGAATTGTTTAGTTCATATTGAACTCGTTTGTTGAAAAGTTGTTTTAGCAGATTGGTTGGATTTTCTCTGCCAAGTAATAAAACACAGGAAGCCTGGGTCAACATGGTCTTGTCAATCAACAATTATAGCATTTTTATTATCACTACATCTGTCAGTTATTTTTTAAATGACTGATCAACTGTTCAGTGAAACGCTGAACAGAATATATTCAAACTGCCTTTTTGTCTGATCTAAATGTAGAGTTTATTTGACTGAGAAACTATCAAAACATTTGGCTTAAACATTTGTTTGAGTGGATTCATGGCAATGTGTGTTGGTAGCACCGACAGTTCTGCACCTGTAGTTTACAGTGGGAAATATGTTTGAGGGTTTTCCTGTTTATATTAGATTTGACAGGAAAGAACGTGAGAGGGAGGGATGGGGAATGATTTTGACAGCAAAAGTCTTTTTCAGTGCGGGTGTGGACGTGGTCACAGTGGAAAGCATCTAATACAAACTCTGTTCCTCACCTTGAAGTAGCGGTAAATCGCCACCACGGTCATGAATGCAATGCTGGCTGAGCGGTTAGAAAACATCAGGAAGAGGTTGATCCGACACATGCCGTCTCCAAACACCCAGTGGCCCCTGAGCAGGGCGTCAATTCTCAGCGGCACACTCAGTAGAACCAGGAAGTCTGCGATCACCAGGTTGAAGAGGAACAGGGTGTTGGGGTTCCAGGCCTTCATTTTAAAGCAGAAGATCCACAGAGCCACTATGTTTCCCAGCAGCCCCAGTATCACATCAACGGTGAGGACTGGGGGCAGGATCAAACCCTCCAGCTGAATACCAACTGGTGGGCAGCCTCCACCTCCACCAGGGCTCGGGGTCGTCATGTTTAACATGTCATTTTGCTTCAGTGGCATTTTGGTCTGTTTCACCCAGATAGATGAGTCTGTGTGAAAATGTGGGAAAGATGGTCAAAAATGTGATTTAATGTGCTTCTCTTAAAAGCAGTTGTAGGTTTGGTGGTTGAATAAAAATGGGAAGGAGAAAGCTGTGTGACCACACAAAACAGTTTTGAGTTTTGAGATTCAGGAAATTTGCCACTTCCCCTTTTTTAACTGTCTTCTTTTTTATGTGGTGTCAAATCTGTGAAAAAGAAAACATTTGTTTGTACATGACCCGGTTGTACTTTTCCTCAGATGCCTGGTAATATCTAACATCTTGAGAATGAATCTAAATGGTAAATCATAATGATGTGGTTTATGATGACATATGAGTGCACTTTTCAAAGTACTCTACATCAGGATATTTCATTCTGACTGACAAGATGTACTTAACATGTACTTACCAAACAAACAAAAACACTATCTTTATAATAATGACCCTCATCAGTCAAATTAAATATTCTTCATATTTTATATTAGAAAACCAGACAGGAAAATGTTGTTTTTACTGCGCCAACCAAACCAGTGCTTTCAGATGAAGACTTTTAAAGTGTAGGTGAAAACTAAAAATCGACAGTATGAATCTTTCATCACAGGAACTCACAGGAATTGCACATTAAATAGTTTATTATTGAAAGAAAAGTGGATGAATAAATCAATTATAAAACAAACACAAGTGAGAATACATGGAGGACTGCAGACTTAATCTAAACGATATCCGGGACTCACCGCTCAGCAGGGAGGGATTTCATTCATGAAGTGCTGGAGGAAGAAATGGGAGGATGTCTGACCTTCGCTCCCATACTTATGTCTGTGACAGGAGGGTGTCCCTGTGTTGTTGTCAGGCCGGTCCGTCAAGCAGTTACCACACTGAAAAAGGAAAGGTCCTGTGTAAGAACAGAAATCCTGTGTAAAGCCCCTTTCACAAGACATTTCACAAGCTCAACCAAGCCGGCAGAAAGTAACATAAGAGGCACAGGGTTGATAAAGTCAGAGATAAAAGTGACTCTGGTGAACTCAACATGTCCTCACCAGTATCTTCAAGTTAAAACCTGCAGTACTGAATTAATTGAAGAGCTGTGTGTGTTTTGTTGAACCCACCTTTGAGAAAAATGTTAAATATTACACATTATGTTGGCAACTGCTAGCAGAGGTTTAAGTTAGTCATTGCTAAGATACTGCTCAACAAACCAGCCAACACTGGGTTTTGAAATGGGTTTCCTTTGTAGGGGCCAGTTGTAGAAACAACTGGGGAAGTTTTGAAATTGCAGGCTTAATGCCACAGCTGTTCAGCGCACTGGCGTCTTTCAGAGCCTATCCTTTTTGTCTGTGACAAGCCTCTGTATGAGTCATGTGTTTTTCAGATCCTCTGACTCATGTTCAGCAGCAGGATCACATTAGCCAGGTCTGAGGAAGCTCTTCAGCTTTAACCTCATGCTTCTCCCCCACAAATCTGTCTGCCCACACGCACACACAGCACAGTCGAGGATACACAGTAACGACTGGTTTGTCATGTTGCTTTGGCTGTTTTTCATCACTAAGCTTCCTAACATCAGAGTGGTTCATCTGCTTTAAGAGGCGACAGATTTCACTGGTTGATTTGGATGCAGCTGGGTGGAGGAGGGAGGGAGGGGGAGACAACCAGAGAATCCTGTGATGGTTCGACTATGTTGTGCAGCAGAGCACTGAGGAGAGACAGAGGATGAGGCAGCATGTTGACAATCATGGGCCCGCACGGCATCAGCCAAGCCGTACACAGGCTGGAGTTCTGCGGCTGCACGAAGGGGCTCGGTAAGCATTTTCCTGACCTCTCCGACCTCTGACTGTTCTGCAATGTGGCCTCACTGGTCTTTAAGCTGCAGCTCAAAATGTTGTTCACCAGCATGTCTGTCAGAACTGAACTGCTGTGCTGGATTATCGGCAGATTGTTTGTTTTTCCTCAGGCATTTTAACTAACCTGGGCTCATCTATGTGCGGTCACAGGTGTGAAAATAATTGGAGGTCACAGAGAGTTGACAGGAGAGGAGTTTGGCGTTTACATCAAGCGGGTGATAGCAGGAGGGTTGGCAGCTCTGGATGGTAGGTAGTTGTGTTTTGTCTGCTTCTGGGAAAGATACAGGCAGTTTTTGTCATCTTCCTCCCCCACCTGTCTGTCTGTCTGTCACCCTCTGCCCTAGGTCGGCTCAAGGCAGGTGACCTGATTTTGGATGTCAATAACATCAGTCTAATAGGGGTGACCAATAAGAGGTGAGTTTTCACCTGTGTGTTTAGGTGCTTTCCTCATGCTTACCCATTAGTTTTATACTTGATGAACAGCATTTATTCTCTGCAGCACATGTGTCCGAGGTCATTTCGCAGCTGTTACTGGTTACATCTATGTTCTGATTCCTGGCAGGGCGGTGGAGATCCTGCGGACAGCCTCGCTTTCTAATCACATGTCCCTGCTGATCGCCAGAGACGATGACTCCAGGTAAAGACATGCATCATTTTTACTGTGAAATAATCACCTTGGCTCTGCCTTCTTTGACCTGGAATGTTCCAGGTGTGGTATTTTCTCAAAGCCATGTGCAAACAGTGACAGTAGATTGTCAGGTGGTCAGCATCACCAGGGGGGTTGGTGATGAGATGCATGATAGCTTATGAACTGTATATGGACAGCAGTGCAAATGACCAGCAGCAGCAGATATGACATAGTGAAGTTGGGTTTACATACAATATGACAAAAAGGGGGGATGTATTGAGTTTGTGCAAACAGCAGAGGTAGTCTTTTTATGTCTTTATGTTCTGTGGTGGGTTACAATCCAGGGGTCCAGGGGCAGAGGGGGGGAGGTAATGGACAGCGTTCAGCATCCTCACAGCCTGGTGGATGAAGCTGTTTGTAAGTCTGGTGGAGTGGGCCTGGAGACTCCGATAACAGGAGGACACACCTGGCATAGATCCATGATAATTACCAGGAGCCTTTGAGCTTCTTAGATCAATCGCCTCATACACGAGTTTCTAGAAGAATCCTAACTGTATGAGGAAGAGGAGTCAGAGTTTATCAAAAGACAGAATTTCCTTTTACTCCCAGTGTGATGAGTCTCCAACACCAGCTGACGTTTTTCGGAGGGACATGTTTGTTCCCTAAGGCTCTGACTGTCCACAGAGATTAAGCTTGACAGTAGTTTGATGAGTCCTCGGTGGAAACTCTGAGGTGAACATGTTCATGGCTGACAGGCAGCATTCTGCGGGTCAGCAGGTCCTGGCACTCTGCTGTCCCCTGTGCTTCTCCATGTCAGCCTGCCACGTCGAGACAAACACAGCCTGACACAACAAGGACACCCTGTTGTCTGTCCACGGGGGTCTCTGCTCAGGAAAGGAGCTCCAGTTGGTCAGAGACACAAAACAACACAGAGCTAAGCAGAAACAACAGCTTGTTTCTCGGGTGCAGTGTTTGAAGGACGCCGAGCAGGCTGAGCTCGTTTTGTTGTGACACACGTGTTGCACATCCTCACACTGTGACACCTGGGGCCTATTTCAAGAAGGCGGTTTTGTCGAAACTCAGAGTTTGTTAACCCCGAAATGAGGGAAACTCGGAGTTTTCGGTTTCAGAAACGGAGGTAACTTAAACCCGTGAAGCGGGGTAAGTTAAAATATGTCCTGACTAGAACTGAATCAGCTGCTGACCTGCACAATGTGTTGCCACATCCTGCATGTGAGTCAGCGAGAGTGCGGGGATTTTCCCTGGTACAAGACACAGTAAGACAGAGTTCAACCACACATGGTGTGCTTGTGTTGTAATCTGTGTATTTTAGTAGTTCCTCAGTAAAAAAGTGAGTGAAACACAGCAACCACACAGCAGCAGAGTCTAAAATAATGTTCTGACAATTTTAGTTTTTTTTCTGTCACTGTTTCTGAGTGAAATCAAAATAGGAAATAGTCAAAGGAGCTGCAGCACAGGGACAGATGTCTCAAAAATCTTTTTTTATTTTGTGAACTTAGATGAGCACAGACACCAGTGTTTCACCTCAGGTGCTGAACACTAATCAGTGCTGACTCATCAATTTAACACCAAAATAAACAAAGAAAATAATATTACTAATAAATTGCTGAACCACAAGAAAAACCATAAATAAATTCTAAATACATATAATCATACATTTACACAAATGGTGAAAATAAAAGCAGGTCGTCATGCAAAATATGGCCACGTCTTCATCCTTTATGTTTTCTGTTACAAGTGCACCTGTTTAGTATCTGGGGTGCAATGGTTTTGAACATCATGTGCAAAGGTTAGACAGGTGACCTTTGACCTCTGGATGTTCAGTGACCATGCAGACCCTGTTTAAAAGGCGTTCACAGCAGAGCCCATCAAATCCAGAGCAGACGATTACACTGAGAGCAACCTCAGGTTCCCTCAGCTTCCAAGTGAGGGAGACAAACGCTCACATATCTGCCGGAGCTGCTCCAACCCAGCAGCACAATGTAGACTTCATGCATCACATGCCCAAGGATGGAAGTGAACTCCAAAATAAAAGCACTGACGGTGAAGTGAGTAGAGTTGAGTCTGCACTTTTGTGGATTTCCATAAAGTGCAGACAGATTAAAATAAATACAAGACCTCGTCTCTCTCATTTACAGTGTAGAATATAATTCTCGCCCTGCGATGGATTGGCGACCTGTCCAGGGTGTACCCTGCCTTCGCCCGATTGCCGGCCGGGATTGGCTCCGGCCCCACCCGTGACCCCGCTCAGGGATTAAGCGGTAGAAAATGAATGAATGAATATAATTCTCCAAAGTCGCCTGTGGCTCCAACCACCAGATAAATATAACTGAGTAAATCTTCTAGGGTCCCCTTTTAAATCATTTGGAGGAAAAGCACCAAGATCCTTGTTATCCTTTGTTAAAACTGTCATACAAGTTGTTACTGCGCTGTCACTTTATAGTAGAAACTCAGCTCTGACGTCCCAGCATTTTCAGTTCAGCCAGACTTTGTCTTATTCAAACATATGAACACTAAGAAAACCCTTGAAACCTCTCTGTAAAACAGCTACTTTTAATATTTTTACTTTTACTGCGCAGACAATGCAGTACTTGTCCATTATAGTACTGGCTCTTCTACCTGAATGCTTCTTTGGGAAAGGCAGCTTTATCCAGTATGTGGGTGTGTGTGTGTGTGTGTGTGTGTGTGTGTGCGTGTTGCGTCCTTGAGGAGGGAGTTTGCTGAACTGATGAAGAGGTACGGCTCCGGTACCGTCACAGCTTCAGGACAAACCACCCCTACAGGTAAAGAACCGACAATTTGGACACATTTGGACTCGTTACCTTGTGAGGACCATTGCTGATATAATGAATTCACTAGCCAGTGCCGGTAACTTTAACACTTAAACCCTCAGCGGTGTGAAACAGTGACGCCTGGGGGGAAGGTTCTGACTTTTCAAAATATCCTCATTTTCTAACAACGTTTTTCTTAAAAAAAAAACTAAAAAAAAAAACAAAATACTGTATCTTCACTTTTCCAAAGTAGTTTCCTCCTCTAAAGCTCTCCTACCTTATACTAAGGATTTTATTAAAAAACATCTGCACCTCAAGTGTCCTGACTTTCCTAAACTGCTGACTTTTTGAAATGTCCTCATTTATCACTTTCCAAAGATGTCCTGTCTTTGCAAAGACACCCAGACTTTCTGTAAATGTCACAATTTGCAAAAGTTTTCTGAAAACATCTGGACTTCTCTAAAATGTTCACACTTCCAAAACTGTCTAAAATTGCCCGTTTCTCCAAAAAACTGTCCTCACTAGGCAAAAATACTCTGACTTTCCAAAAATGTCTTTACTTTCTGAACATCTTGTCATTTTCCAAACATTTCTTGACTTTCTAACCTTCCAACGTTGTCTTCTCTTTTTAAATATATCCTCACTTTCAAGATTTAAAGCCAAACCGGTTCTCACAAATATGGAGAATGTTCTTCATGTCGCTGTGTCCTGCAGCTCTCCGTCCCTGTTAATCAGTCTTTATGATCGCTGATGTTATTAAATGGATCTGATTGAACCTGTGTTGTCGTTTCTCTGTAACTCCACCACTCTCCACCTCCGACCTCTTCACACTCACCTCTCTTCTTTCTCCTTCTCTGGGTTCTGTGCAGGGAAGCTGATGGACACGGCCTCCACTTCCTCCTCTTCCAGATCTGAGAGCCCCCAGCTCCTCAGTCCCAGAGAGGGGCTCACTGCCTACACCCATGGCTCCCCCTACACCATGCACACACCCACACATGCCTTCAGGTAGGAATCAGACAGCGGCCGCTAAGGAAAAAGCTTGTTCTTGGTCCTCATGGATTCATGAGTGAGGCTTTCGCTGCCCTGTAAATCCTGACACTGGGGGTAAAGTAGGACACCCTGAGTGTGCTGCTTTTCACTGTGTGTGTTCTTGGGCTCTAACAAATGTGCTGAATGTGCTTCCCTCCTCAACACAGGAATCTCATTAAGTTGATGATTTAGCTTAAATTGTGAATATTTAAAAAAAAGGCAGTTCAGTACGTCAACCTTTCATGCTCCACCTTCCACTTAGTTTTCTGTTTTAACATTTATGGTGTAAAATTCCTCTGTTACAAATAAAAGTCCTGCATTAAATGTTTACTTAAGTAAAACTACAAAAGTACTTATACAGTGAAGAACTTTACATCCTGCTGGGGAGCTGGTGGATTTCCCACGGGGATCAATAGAGTTTGATGATTCTACTGGGTTTGGTTTGATTCATCTGATTCTGGAAAGGAACTGAAGTTAACAGATACATGTAGTGCAGTAAAAAGTACACGGTTCATCTCTGACATGCAGTGAAGTCACAGTATGAAGTATCAGGACATGGAAGTATTCAACTAAAGTAAAATAGCTCAGAACTGTACTTAAGTACATGTACTCAGTTACTTTCCACCACTGCTTTTATTAAAAGACAACTGTCCTTGTAGAGATGTAGATTTAACCAGTGACCATTGACACTTCCACACTTTTGCAAACCTTCAGATGAAGAACATGGCTGAAGATCTACTCATGTGCTCTCTCTGTACAGTGTAAAGTCTAGTGCTTACAGAAACCAGTAAACCGTGATTCTGCAGGACGGGAACGCAAGCAACGACAAAAATAGTGAACAGCATCTTCAGCAGTTTCACATAGTAAGAGAGGAAGAGGAGGGTGGAGATGACTGCATGTGAGTGGCAGCCTGGTTTTGTGTCTTTTAATCATGCATGGTGCCGTCCTCCTTGTCTCTCCTCACTGACAGTGTCATTCAGTTGATCTGTGTTGCCAAGGGAACAGACCTGGGGCTCATCATCGATGGCGGAACCAACCGCGCCAAAGGACCAATGGTGTTCATTCAGGAAATGGTGCCTGGTGGAGACTGCCAGAAGGTCAGCAACCTCTGGTTTGTTTTTAAAGCACCACACAGAGTCGGTTGGCCGCTTAACAGGTGAAGATAAAAGTAAGAAAAAGGTGAATGTGGTTTTTAAAATAGAAGAAAATTAAAGATGCTGCCGAGATGAGTCCAACGTTAAAACAACGAGGGGCTGTGTTGTTTCAGTGACAGGGGAAGTACTCTGATCGTTTACTTCAGCAAAAGTAGTAATACCACAGTGTAGAATTACTCTGTTACAAGTAAAAGTCAAAGTAAAAATATCAGTATCAAAATATGCTTGAACCGGTGCATATGTATTCTCTTCAGTTCAGATCAGCTCAGTCTTTATTACAAACTCAAGGTCCCGATAAAAAACATTCTAGTTACTGATTCGTTACTGTGTCCATCACCTTAATGCTGTGGCAGATAAACTGTGGAAACACAGCCAAATGTAGAAATACAACCTTTTACAATGGACTCTTGCTGTCGCCAAGGTCCAGAATGAGGTGTAAACCCAGGATGTGAGTGCTGATGACTGAGGGCACATTGGCTCCGTGGCCCAATGAGCACCACGTTGTGACTATCTGTGTTTCAGGACGGCAGGCTGCAGGTCGGGGACCGACTGGTGTCCATTAACAAAGAGTCCCTGATCGGAGTGACATGTGAGGAGGCCAGGAGCATCCTGACTAGCACCAAACTCAGGTCCAGCACACCTGGCACCTGGACACTCTCCAAGGGCATAGATCATTCAAAAGATAAGAAAACAAAAGCAGATGTTTGTCTCCAAAACAAGATCCTACTGAAACAAGCATGATGCTGGCACTTTGTAACACAACTATCCACAATGACGCCTGTGCGTTCAGTGATTTACTGTAGTTACACTATTTTCATCTTACTAACTCAGAGCACATCGTTGCAGGGTGAGGTGGTTCTGAGCCAGAGAAGCTCTAGTAATGTGTGAAACAATGTCAGTCAGAGTCTGGTATCGGCTTTAACATCTCATTTACCGACTCATCGCAAACATAAAGTGATGATCTGCTCTTAAAGACACACAATGAAGTAGACTGACATACTGTACATGGTTTGTTAATGAGGCCAAAAATACTGACTTCAATATTTAAAGTTTTTATAAAATAAGTACAAAGTATAAGTTACTATTAATAAATGAACAAAAAATTCATATGTGTGACAGAAGAGCTTAATCTAACAAACAACACAATTCTATTGTAAAAATTATAAACACTTATAAAAATTCTTCTGTGTTGTAGACCAGACCCCACAGTGGAAATCGCCTTCATCAGGCAGAGGTCATCCTCCAGCCTCAGCAGCGGGCCCCTTGGCCCCATCTCCCTGCTAGGGTCTGGGGGTGAGCCCCAGACGAGGGATCCCATGCCTCCACAGCCAGCTGTAGCCACCAAGATCACCTGCCGCCAAGACCCTGCCAGCGAGATACTGCCCGCAGTCAACATCAGCCAAGTCCGAGAGTCAGCACTGTCCAAGTCTGATCCAGGACCAGGCCACATAATGGTGCTTTGAGCTAAATGCTCACATGCTGACATGCGGATGCTGACCAGGCCTAATGTTTACCATGTTCACGGTGTTCAGTTTAGCACGTTAGCATGCTGGCATTAACCTATTAGCAGGGGACAGCTGAGGCTGATGGGAATGTCATTAGTTCTGCAGGGGTTTGGTCATAAACCAGTGTATTGGACATATGTTGACCCGATGATGGCACTAGAGGAAAAGTCAGACAATCACCACAGTTATTACAGTTCATTATCTTGAATCTCTCAAAATCTAATAATTTCTAAAGAAAATTCATCTGAATATTTAAGAAACAACCACATTTCACACCGAAGTGCTAAAGAGCATCTGTTTGTTGTTACTGGTTAACTGCAAACTGTGGGGAGCCTCTTCCAGTCATTCGCATATTGTGCAGCCTCCTTGTGTAGTGTCGGAGCAGAGGGACTGGCACATCTCCACTGAGGTCACACACACACCCATGAACACACTCCTGTCAAGCCATCATTAATATATTGTTTTCATGTTAGCAGGCGCAAGTGCAGACACGTGTGTCCTCGCCACCAGAGAGTGACAGCATCACTGACACACACCCTGGTATGTATCTGTAACACTGTGTACATCTACAGTACGTCTTCATGTACATTATAACTCTTATAAACTCCCTAAAGTTATTAACATTTTTAATTTTAACTGAATATCCATAAAACTTGTAAAGTGCACATATAAACCGGTTATTGGAAACACTTCATGAGAAGTACCACAGCAGGTTTTATCTGCCTGAAAGACAAACAGTCTGTGCACCTGATTATGCACTGATGAGGTAAAGTATCAGTAGCATTTTTAGTAAAACACCCCATCCCCTGTAGCCATGGATGGCTGAACAAACAGGTCGAACCAGAACAGGCCCAGGTGATCGAGGGATCAGGGGTCTGAGACCTCTGCATAAAATGACTTGTTGGAAAGTCAATCAGCAACAATTAGAAGCAAAATGAGTAAAAATCAACACAAAACAGCCACACAGGAGTAAAATGAGCACAAGAACATGCAAAACAACCTCGTAGAAAATACAAGTAAAACATAGAAGAAAATATCCACAAAGAGACGAAAACAGACTAAAAAGAAATGAAAAGAACCAAAAAGTTACCGGATGGATACAACTAGCCAGAAGCATATGACCGATGCAACATGATTAAAATGAGACATAAAAAGACCACAAAGACACAAAACAATGAAACAGACGTGCAGAGTGACGACTAAACAGAGACACACAACTCTATTTCTATCTGAGGGTCTTGCTCCAGTGTAGGACGGTGGATGGCATTTACATGTCTGTGTCCAAGGGAAGGTCGCAACAGAAGTGCTTCTGTGTTTTATGTGATAATAGCATACACTATAACAACAACACAGGATTTTAAAAAGTCTGCAAACACACACGCCTGTGCACAGATGCCCTGCTGTGAAGTGTGAGGTGGCAGCACTTCTGATGTTGAGGCACAGATGGCATGAGGTTGGCTGCCTGTTAGAGGAGGAAGCGAGGCAGGCGGGAGGTCTGGCCTGTGACTGGCTGAAGAGGAGCCTGGTGGAGCTCCAGACTCTGTTAGCACTGGTTCAGACCCCAGACTGTATTCCTTTGAATGTTTCTGTGGTGGACTTTGTCTCTGATTTCCACTCCCTCCTCACTGAACTGTATAGAATACTGATGCTACTAAGCACCTCTCCATTCTAATGTCACATAGGACTGGTGCATGCTGGTATTTACTGATCGTGGAGCTGCTGGCCATCAACATACCTACACAGACCGTTCAAAAACTGCTTTTTGTGCTTCGGGTTTTAAGAAGGTGGAAACGATCTCGCTGCACTGATAGTTTCAGAGCTGCCATTTCCCTTCATGTTGGTGTCTTTCTCAGTGGCTGGTGTTGATGGGACCATATTGTTGATGTACATGCACACAGGAGTATTAAAAGTACAAAAGTCTCTTTATCTGTGTCTGTGTCCAGAGACGGGCGGCAGTCGGCCTCCACAGAGGAAGCTGAACACCAGCTGTCGCCTGAAACTGGAGAAGGTGGAGCAGGTCTGTGTGATTCATTGCAGCCATTTGTCATTGGTTCAGGTTAGCGTCTGTTGCACTAGAGGGTTCAGTCCTCGGTGTGTTTTCTCTGAAGGTGTGCTCAGAGTGAATTTCTGCCCAGCATCCCTCTCACCAGCTTGACTACTAAAACATTGTGTTGACTCACTCCAAACAGCCAAAACAGCAGCTGATCTTTGGCTTATTTCCTTCTAGTTTCTCTGCTTTTCTTTTTCATTGAAGTGGAGTTATGAAGCAGATCCACACTGCCATATTTGCACATGTGTCATGTCATTTCTAAATCCTGCTCCAGAGGGTTGAGAGCTGCGGATACTTTTGGCCTGCTGAGCGGGCAGAAGCCACCATATCCTGAGCACATACCATGTAGTTCTGAGGGCTGAACTGCTGACTGTTTGCTTGTGTGACAGCAGGCGGTAAAAGTGGCTGTAAAGGTCCTGTAGTTTCTGGCTAGAGCCTCCTGGGTGCCTCCTGTCACGGCGCCCAGCAGAGTTATGGCGACGCAGTCTGACGCCCGCTGTGGGAGCGAGTAGCACTGAGAGGTCTGAACATCATTTGACACCAGGGCTCATCCAGCTTTTGGCTCATTTTAGCCTGTTGATCAGACAAAACATAATCTTTGTACTCTGACTGAACAATTAACTGATTTATTTAAAATATAATCATCAGACCAGTCAGTAATTGCATTAATTGACCATTTATCTAAGATGCAGTTGTTTTGGAAAAGGTTCCGAGCTCTCCACTGTTTGCACCTCTTGTTGTCTGACAGTCATTTTTGGCCATTAATTTCCACACAGTCACTCATAACAACAAACAAACACATTTTCTAAATTGGTGCATTTTTGTTGTCTCTTTTCTAATGTTAACAAATGTTAATTTAACAAAAGTCAGATTTGGCTTCAGGCTGCTGAAAAACATGCCTGATGAACTACTCTGATTGCTGTGAATTAGCTGGTCCTTTTTGAATCGCCTCTCCATCATCTCAGACAAGGGGCTTGAAACAGCTCCTGACACGATGCAGATGTTTTTGTTTGGTGCTGGTCAGCATCATGTGGCTGTTTGTGTTTCTGGGCGACACCGCTGAGAGCTGTATGTGCATTGATCTGTGTGTGTGTGTGTGTGTGTGTGTGCCCAGACTGTGGATCTGATTGGTCTGAAGCCCACAGGGGCTCAGCGACAGGCGCTCAGGTCCAGACTACGGGCTGATCCAGCTGGGACGGTGGCCTTCACAGGTAAGACAGCACAGCTTAGCCACACACTGAATATACTCTTCATTAGCTCTTCACTTCGTCTTACACTCTAAATGTTTGTTTTTGTTCTACATCCATGTAAACATCTCTCAGTCTTCTGACAGCTTAAAATATGGATGTATAGTATTTCACACTGCCTTTTTGTGAATGGTGAGGATACAACTAAGCGTGACAGCTCATTTTGCTTATAAGAAGCAGGTTTGTTGATGCTGGATGAGTGACTGGTTCATTTGCCAGCAGTTAACCCCTAAACTGTTTCTGTTTCTCAAACTGGAATTACCCTTAAATGACCAAACTCTTGAGCGTTTCCTGCATTTGTCATATACCTGTTGATAGTCGTGTTCTCTTTCCACCAGCTCAGGGGTCTGTTTCTCCATTCCAGAGTAAGTTTTCATGCCCTAAATATCATATTTTTCAAGCTGTCTGTTACCTCATAATGAGAGATCCTTATATTAGCTTTAACCAGTGGTCATTCTTCAAATTACTCATAAAATGACAGATCCTCGGGTGAATGGTTCTTACGTCACTCTCTCTTCCCATTAACCTACCATTACATCAGTCATCAGCAGAGCTCAGTCAGCCCAAACAGCCAGAGCTGTTTCTGGGAGACAAAAATTATCTGAAAATAGCAGCTGAGTGCCTGAGGCAACATTACCCTGAAATCAGCATCAGAGAAATGAATCTGTGGATGAACAAAGCAGATTCTGTTGTGACAGACAAATAAAACCCTGTGTTTGTAGAGTTCAAGAGCCTGATCAGGGAGCTGTTCGAGCCTCAGCTGGAGGAGCTGGCCGTCACCCAGCCAGGGCTGAGGTTCACATCTGATGACCTGTGCGATTTGTTGGAGCCACCCACCAGCCGGCAGGTAAGGGCACTTGGCAGCACTGCCTCTGGCTGACAGACCTCTGCACACCCACGTCCCCACACCGGAACAGAAGCTGTGATTTGTAAGTCAGATCAGAAAACGATAGTGTGGCCTCACTCTGTGGTCTGAACCAAAGCCAGAATTCATTTGTTTGACACACTTTTCCCTTCCAGTGTCTGACAGCAGCTTTTCAGTGGTGAACCATGAGCCTGCTGAGCTCCCGTCTCCGTCACTGGCTACACAGACACGAACCCACGTTTCGCTGTGCTAAACTGGCTTCAAAGGCTGATAATGCTAGGGCTGTTGAGCCAAATGAGTTGTGTCCTGCTTTTTATTATTTCTGTTTCTCTGAACCAGGTTTGTGCATGTGACATGACAGGAGACACCAGCAGTCTCATCGGGTCCCTGCCGTCGTTGTGACTGGTGTGATGTGCCGGTCCTGACCTCCAAGCTGCCAGTTGTATTGATGTGAACTTTGATTTATTTTTGTTCTCAGTGGAGGGGACTTGTGGACTGTCCAGCCAGCAGAGTGTAAAAATTTTCGACACTGCTGGGCTCACACAGAATCAGAGCAGTAGTCAATCCCAGTCTGAGGGCAACGAGCAGGACACACAGCTGTACATTAGTCTCAAAACACAGAATCGCATTTTTATAAGAAGCATAAAAACTGATTCCGAGAAACAGAAACGCAATAAAACTAAATGAATATCATGTGCAAAGTGAAACCAAAAGATGAATGTCTCCTGCGAACACATCCTTGTGTGTATCCCAGCCTGATCCCTCCTCCCTCTGAGCTCTACTGTGTCCAGGAACAGTGAAAGCCACCAGTGACCACACTGCTGCACCATTGACACGTTCCTCCATTACCATGAACACACACTGTGGCTGATTCTGAATCTGCCCTACACACACTGTCCTACTGCCACTAATACTCACTAGAGATCAAATGAAAATTCATTCGCTGATGAAAATAGTCCCCAACAAATGCAGTTTCCTGCTGTTTGTTTGGCAGGAAAATAAAATTAACAACATCTTTTTAAAATACAAAATAAGTAAGCAAATGCAGTGTCAGACAAAGATCCCGTCAGAATGTATCTAGCTTTCTCTTCACAAACTGCATTAGATCCCTGGCCCAGTGCCGTTCTCCTAAAGAAAGAGTTCTTTCCTGGTAACATTCATTTTATATTGTCAAACAATATTATATTGTTCTTGTATCAAGCATCCAAATTGCTGTTAGGAAACTGGGTTGCATGGAATCCCAAGTGGAATCCCAAGTCTGCATTGAGAGAGCAGAGGACCCGTCCAATCAGTGAGGAGACGATCAAAGGCACTCAGCTCCTCTTTTAACTTTGCCAAAGAGCACAAAACTTGTACTACCCCATTAAACAGTGAAATAAGTTTGCTTTTAATGGCAAGCTCAATTAGCAGTGACGATTTTGCTTCTGTTCACCAAAACCTAACAGGTCTTTTAATTGTGTGTGTGTGTGTAGCCGTCACTGTCAGACTCGGAGGAGCTGGACGAGATGGAGAGGCTGAGGAAGGAGCACATCAAGGCTCTGAGGGAGATCAAGAGGCTGCAGGTAAAACTTACGTCCACCTGCTCCACCTGGAGAAGAATCTGATCCTCTACAAGTTTGTATTTTGTCATCAGCTGCTTCCTGTTGACTTGTGTGCGTACTTCCTGTTGGCTTTCTCTCTGGTTCTGGCCTGTGCAGGAGCAGCTGATCGAGTCTCAATTGCTTCACCATCACATGGAGGAGGAGCTCAGCAGGGCCCAGCAGGTGAGCCCCTACTAATCTGCCTGGTGGGGAGCACTCACACCTGTACGGTCTGATGCAGTCCAGCATAACCATTCAGTTGCTGTAGGTGAAGTTCACAAAGCGTAGTTCATGATGACATCAGTTCAGTCTTATGTGACCTGTGCCGTGCGTCTGCTGTGAGTCTAGCTTCTCTGTTGTGTTTCCGCTGTTGGGTTATTCGGGTGGGAGTTTGTGTGTGGGCTTCTGAATGGGGTGCTTCTTTTAAAATAGATCAGCAGGTGGAGACATAACATCACACACACATACATCCTACCTCACCAGCAGTGGACTGTGGCAACCAAGTGTGGGCCACTGCTTCTAATCTGTTTCTGTGGTGAACATAAACACTGACACTCTCCTGATGCCTTTCAACATGGATCCGTGAACTATAATGTTTTGAACACTTAAACATCTTGTCTTGGCAGATGAGCAGTGGAGTAGCCAAAACGTAGCAGAGCTGGTTTTAACTGTCCAGCTACTGAGCTCCTGCAGGATTCAATCCAGATGCTGCAACACTGATGCGTTCCAGTCGCAAACAAACCAACCACATGACCGATCGCACTGGGAGCTTCTCAGTCTTCACTGTGGGTGTTGCAGTCACCGAAACTCACAGACGTGGAGCATCGGAACAGGCTGAGCTATTTAGTGACGGACTGTTTCACTCAGCTTCTTAGAGCTGTCTGAGGACAGAGTTGGGAATTGTGATTGTAGTGGTGCAGTCTGACAACACAGAGAGAAGCAGAAGGCCAGGTGTGGCACTTTGCTGCAACACAGAGAAGTATGTCAGTAAAATGTGTTGTTGTCGAGTGTTCAAACACCGTGTCTGGGCAGAGCTGAGTATAAACCTCACCAGAGGGTTTTAGACTGAATCACAGCTTGTGGAAAACACAGTGGACTAATAACATCCCATGTTGGCTAACTGTCAGTGTGTAAGTACAGGGAGGACTGCTGTTGGATGGGTATACACATACACACATGACAATGGGAACAGAGGGAGAAAGCTGAGCTCAGGTTGTGTGTGTGGAGGAGGCTGAGGCAGACTCACACAGTAGCAGGTTTACTGTGGGAGGAATGTAAGGCCATCACGGAAGCTTCCTTTGTCTCTAAAATAGTTAGTTTTTTGTTGTGATTCATAGCTGAGGGGTCTCAGCCTCTCTGGCTCCCACTCTCCTGCCTCTCAGCTTGTATTCTGTTGCATAAACCGATCAATAGCTACATTTAGATGCAGCTAACAGATGTACTGCAGCAACAAAGATGTGGCCAGGACTTTTTGTACCTGAGATTTGGACAGGAGAAGAAGAAACAGGGATCATTCAGTTCATCTTTGGGCTTTTGTTTTACTTTAATGTGGTGTGAGAAGCAGCAGCAAGAGTGGAGGACTTGGTGTCTATTCTTTACACACAGCCAAATATTAGAGTGCACCTCAATTAGTATGGTTGTTTAAATTGTGTATTACTGTGGCAATGAGTACAGACACTGGGTTTCTCTGGGCCTTCACCCTTCAGGTCCTTGAATTGTATTTGAATGTGAACAATCTTGAAAAGGGAGCTCCTTAGTCCAAACTACAGCCATGTGCAACCTTTGTGAAGGCTCCTGAACAGACACTGCTGTTGAAGAGTCACAAAGCAGAGGTCGGTGGGGAACCGCAGCTCTACGCGTGGATTCAAACAGAAACCTGCCAAGACTGGCTTTGAAAAAAGTTCATGAGTGTTCAACCCTAACACCAGACACAAATATTGATATTGGACAGGTCTGGAAAATCCCGCTTTACATCCAGTTTTTAAAATGTGCGCTTTCTACAAAATGTGCACTTAAGGTTAGCCACAGATCATGGTCAGGATTAACCCCAGCTATGCCAAAGCGCTGCACCAGTTCGCAATAACCAAAAGGCCCATGTCTAGCTAAGGGACAGCAGTGATCTCTTCTGTTCTCCATGTCTCTGGGCCACTCAGGTGCCAGTCTGGTGAAGAGTCCCATTTGGCACAAAAGCTCTAGTTGTGTAAATGCTGATTCAGCAATGGCGTTTCAGCATTTTCTAATTAAATAAAGGTTTCACTCAAAACCGGTCATTCAGCACCCAGAACAAAAAGGTTGAGACAAAGAAGTGCAGATTAAATGGGACACACGACACAAGTCTGTCTTTGTGTCAGCGCTATGATGGCCTATAAAGACATAAAGACAAAAAGAACTGCAGATGCTGCTGTGAACAGGGACTTTGACCCTGTCATATCTTGCCAGGCTGCAGACGTGTCCATAGATTAGAGGTACCTGACTGTGAGGTGCTGGGTGGTCTCTGCATATTGAATGAGCCTGTGAGTAAAGGTGACATCCTTCAATCCTCTGAGGGGAATTTCTC